ACCTACAATCATTTGATATTGTACTTGAGATTTCGCAATGAGCTATAGCCGATTGATATCGTGTTTCTTCTACGTATGACATTGTATTCTTGAAGCTGATTCGACATAAAAGAGTTGAATATCATTTCCAAAAACAATGTTGTATTTTCTTTCAAATCATCATCAATAATACAATGCCATAAGAAATAAAGGCATGATATCAATCGATTTTAGCTCACTATATAGCATCAAGTGCATTACTTGTAAACGCAATTGGCGAGTAAGGGTAAACTCTCTCCCGTATTCCTCACATGAAAAAATGAAGTAGAAGACAATAAGAGTTCGAAACAATGACCTATGTCATTCTTGTCCGGTTGGTCCGGTTGAGTTTCGACAGCTTTGTTGTAACCAGACTCCGACAGAGGTTTTCCAGGAAGTCCAGACGTCTTTCAACTGAATCCCGATGGATACTGTTCGAAAGTGACCAGAACCTTTCCGGTGAATATCGTGCCGCAATCCGACTGCATAAAAGTCATCGAAATTCAGTAAATCTATCGAAGCCCTACTGAACTTGAGGGAATCATTGCCCAAAAAAATGGAACCCACTGATTACAACAGTCGGAACACTACATCTTGGGAGACATTAAGAAGAGCAATCGAGAAATATGGGAATATATGCATGATAGTAGATAAAACCTAGTTGAAAAATAATATGATCGAAAAGGGAAAGAACAACAGAATTCTGAAAGAAGTGGTTGTCGACAAGAAAAGAATTAGAAAAGAAGGCACAGTGAACTGATATGTTTGAACTAGTGTTGCAAATCTTCAAGTCATTTCGAATATAGAACCAATATTGTCAGTCAACTTATTACAAAAACAATGAAAACATAGTGAAATCAAAGTAGTATATCTAGAGAAGAAAAATTTTGAAATAGAATACAAGAATGATATATGAAACGAGATAGAAAAATCGTGGAGTTCTGATGAAAAAAAGAGATTTTAGCTAAACAAATGCACATCGAAAGAGCATTCTAAATCTCTTAAAAACGAAAAATTTGTTTTCAATGTTTTGCCTCTCTGTTTACCTCAATTCTATTCTAGATAAAAACGACAGTTCTTATCTAACACAGACTATAACTGAAAAAAATGCTTTTCAAAGTACAAAAGACTGAAGTTTCGAAAGACTTGAAGTTATTATACTGTGTGTCAACAAACAACTTAGATAAGGGAAAGAAATCTTTGTGAGATGTTTATAACAAAAGAAAGGAGGCACTTATCCACCGAGTAACAAAACAAGACACAAAACAAGATTAGACGTCTTTTCAAAGTCCAGACAAACTTTCGCCAGAACAGAACAGAAACAGAGGTGCATGATACCACGTACGACTATCTTCTTGGTCAGTAGCTAAATAGCACGACTAGAAGTAGATCAAAACTGCTTTGTCAATATCATAATCGACTCGAATCCACGAGAAAATAGTCCATGTTTTATTCGACAGTCATTGAATGAGAAAAAAGCCTTCTACTTCTAGATTATCGAAAAGATAAGAGAAAAAGTGTTGGAAGTATAGGTTGGCAAACTAGAACTGAATTGTCCTCAATGTGTTCAACGATTCAGCGTGGGGTGTGGATGTGGGTGGATGAAGAGAAGACTCACAAGTTCACATCAAGAAAAACCTTTTGTAGTGTTCCTTGTATTTTCTATCGAGTTACTCTTTCTGACAATATTTTAGTATCAATTGCATGGACGCAAATTATGACATTTTCTACTAACTTAATTTGTGGAAAATAGTCCATTCGATTTGAATTCAACAGTTTATATATGAATTATAGTCAATTTTCCATGATTTCGATCATATTCAAACCAACAATGATGCAAATCGATGAATATTTTGACTCAAATTTACAGAATCAATTCAACATAATAACAAATTAAAATTAGTGTAGCTGGAATCAGCTCAAAATTGTTTCTTTTTCTTCAGAGAAGTAAATCTTCAAAGAATCACGTATTCATGTGGATTTTATCATGTTACTGTAGATATCTACAAAGCCGTGAGCAAAAAGAGTCAGCAGATACTTATATTGTAGTTGTACTCCATCAGGTATTCAGAACACATTTCCTTTACTCATACGATGGGTCTTTATGAGATAAGTTATATTCTTTTTCTTAGTTGACACAAGTGACTAATGGTTTTCTTTATGATCGTGCAGAAATATAGTATTATATTAATGTTATTTTTATTTTTAGTTCATCATACTTTTCTCATAAACTTTTATCTCTCCAACAGAAACATCGAATAAAAGTATAATGTTATTTCGTACAACTGATTGATCAGTATGCATATAAATTGTTTGAATAATGCCGTATGCCATTGCCATCGTTACCAATCGGGGACAAATGGAATGCCTGTAACGAAAATATATCATTGGACGCAGATATAATTATAATCGGTTGTTACTCATAAAGATAGTTGTACTTATGAGGAAATAATCCAAAATTCTTCGTTTCTGAGATAAAAGCAATTTTATCTCAAAAACATAAATACGTGTTTACTTCTTCGATCAATCTTCCTCGATTATCATAATAACTCCAGAAATATAGTTTTCTCTGTAGAAACACAGAGTTGAATAAATAATGAATTCTTGCACAGAATCTGCACTACGTATCCCTGCTAATCAAACAGATGCCCTAACTAGTTAAATTAGGCAGGAACCCAGTTTTCCAATTTTATGATCACTCCATAACGGATTGTTCATGCATAACAAAAATAGTAACCTATTCTCACTAGTACTTACCTATCCTGCTAGTCAATATTGATTCGGCACCTATTCCATTACATAGATTCGATGAACAAAAATATGCTTGGCGACCTTCATATTGCTGCACTGAACCCGATGGTCCGCAACCCCACGTGCAACAGCGTCGAACGACTGTATCTAAATCAAACAACGTATGCATGTTTGTTCTGTTTGACGACATCAGGGTGTGGGGGCATGGATGTTGGTGTGGATGGCTGTGGGTACGGACGAAGTGAAGACTTATACCTTACACTCTACACCCGCGCACCTCACACCCACACTTCTAGAGCTTTGTCAGAGGGAGACATTCAAGATCAAATTTCTAGTTCATTAAAGCCATGGAAACCAATTAGAACGAGCAAAGTAGACTAGCTTTGGTGTCCTAAAAACTGATAAGAAGCCAGTGAAAACCAGCTGGTTTTAAAAGTTCAACAGAATTGACGACTGGCAAATGGATCGATCCGGTTTCAACTGCAATCTATAATCAGTTGATGAATAAAAGTTAGACTAAAATAATTATAATAAAGGTATCCTACAAAAGTTTCATTTACAAATAAAACTTCTTAATAAGTGTTTCAATGTAAATCTATTCTATGAATGTACTACTATAAAGCTAAACGTCAGTACTTCGTTGCTAATCAACAATTGAAAGTCTCGAATGAGAAATTGATTGCAGGAAAACTTTTGAATTTCGATTCAAATTTTTTTCGCTTGGTTCTAGTTTGCGCTAGGTCAAGCTCGGATCTCAGAATAACTTAGTTCAATTCACACTCGATCTGAATCCGACAGTCACCTAAGACATAGACGTACTATGGTTCCAGCTTTATTCAAATGACATGAATATTTAGATCATTTTTCTTAAATCTTAGTTTTCTATTAGAGATAAACCTCAATTGAAAATAACAAGCAGAATTTTAATTGAGATGGGATCGTATGGGGATATTCTTTGACTTGAGCAAACAGAGTGGCGAAGCCAGAAAAAACTGACAGAAAGGCTCAATCATATCCTTCAGCAACTGTGGTGCCACTACTGTGCAAACACTAGTTATCTAATCTCGGAATTCCGTTAATAAAAACCAAACAACATAATAAATTCATTCGTTGCAAAATGACCCATCTAAAAAGTGATAACTTGAACAAAAAAAATGTCTCAATAATCACACGCGCTGCTTCTACACTCTGATTAGATCAACACTTCATTTACTTGTGTCTTCTTTTTTAAAGTTGTTCTCTAAAATTTCACTCATTTTGGAATATCTCATTTATTACACTTACTGCCATCGTAAATATTTCGATAAACCATACACATTCGACAGTTGCGTAAAACTGCGTCCTGTGAAATACCACACTTCGAATAGTGGCCAGTACATTCATAACAAGTCAATGAAGATGATGCAGTATTCATCGAGGTTGTTTTTCCTTGATTATTTAGAAAATGAATTAATTAGGTTTTAGCGTGAGACTTGTACGTACCGGTTGTTATCGTCGATGACAATGTTGACACGCTGGAAGGCGTTGTTGTTTCTGGTTCCTCTCCACTTCCTTGTTCTATAAGATTTATATCTGCTATGTCTCCATTGCACATATCTCCGGAACAAAAATACGTCAGACGTCCTTCATAAAAACTAACTCCATCACCACCACAATTACTCCAACAACAACGGCGTATTATTACGTCTTTCAATAGAAAACACTCGATTTATCTTAAAACGAAATAAAATTAAGTTGAACTCCTTACTCCCATCATATTGGTTTTGATAGACCATGCATTTACCACCGCAATTAACAAGTAGATGAGTTTGACCACTGCCACATGGAACATAGCCTGTACATTCGTAGCATTTCAAACTTGAAGAATAAAGAGGATAGAATATCAAAAGTATTAAATGTTTAAGTATGACGAACGTCATTTCTTTGTAATGGAACAAATAATGACATGCTTTCATCACTTTTGACTCAAATATAAAGCTTCTATTACGACTTTATTGATATTTCTGTATCTCGTTTCACAAGCGCTATTAAGAGAACAAGCAAAGCCTTCTCTGTTGACATAAATATATGGATGTTTAGTATTATATTGATTTTCTTCATATTCATTACATACTTTAGTTTTATTTGAATTCTAGAGCTTGTTAAACGGTTAGAATTGACTCATTGACCTTCTATTAAGATCGGTACTGACTGCTGTACTTCAGTTCACTACTTCAGGGTATGAGTGTGATTGAATATGTACCCATAAGTCCACACTCATCCATCCGCCTGCATTCACACCTACGACTAGTCAAGACAATATGCGATATTTTTCTTTCAAAAAAATTATCTGTCTCTGGTAAAGGTGTAAGATGATGTGTAATTTCTAATAAATATGCCAGTCTACGTTTTGTTTCGAGAGCATACAACACATTTATATAGCTCCAATAATTCGGAAGACAAAAGTATTCATTCATCATCGTAAAATTCAAAGAGAGTGCCTTCCATTTTCAGACATATCTGCAGCAATTTTTGAAAAGAAATAGTTTACTGTATACAATCATATTAAAAAATGTGGACGACTTTTGTTATGCTCGTATGACTAGGCTGACTTATGAGGCAAGGTTTCCAAGTGATCCATCGCTTTTAAGTTAGGACCATGTGCATTATGTGGGCCATAGTGAGTTATAAATATCCCGGAAAGATTTCGAGTCTATAACTTATTGCTGCCAAGATACTGCATTTTTACGGTATTTTCTACGCATAGTGCCGTGGTTCCTGACAGGAACAACAAAAATAACTGCGTTTGGAATTTCGACTTGAAACTTTATATAATGAAAGACCACAGTAAGAATAGTTTATTGTGAAAGTTTCAGATCTTCTGATTGCTTCTATTCTGAAATAAGAACATCGGAATCTACCCATGTGTACGAGCGATGTACTACCATGCTTTTACCATAACTGTATCCTAGGAGAGGAACAATCAAGAGATCTAAAACTTTCACAATAAACTATTCTCACTGTGGTCTTTCATTATACAAAGTTTCAAGCCGAAATTCCAAACTCAGTTTTTTTGATGTTTCTAACAGGGACCATGACACTATGCTTACAAAATACCGTAAAAATGCAGTATCTTGGGAGCAATAAGTTATGGGGTGTGGGGTTCTTCTTCTCTTCATTCACATCCACATTCACATCTATTCTTAGTAAAAATGGCCTAGTTAATCAATGGGTCGATGGATTTTGATAAAACTTATATCAGTCATAGCTATGGTGCAGCATCACTACAAGTAGAAGGATGGCTTGACTCAAAACTCCTCTTTGCTCTCGAGTTACGAGATTCATAGTGATCATGTATGCTACTGATCATAACACCGTTCTCGGTTAAACGATTTTGATACTGATGGTATTGCTGGTCCACATCAACTGTAGACTATCCGCACACAATTATTCGAACAGCTCGCTCTCATAAACATTGAGATTTGAGGGTCGATGCTTTTTGGCCAATAGTGAAAAAGAAAACAATGATGACAAGAGTGAAACAAGATTAATCTATATTGACATAACACGTATATGGTATCATATTTTGTTGATAGAAAGATAAAAATATGCAAAGTCGACTTTGTGAGTGGGGGACGCTTGTTATGATTGAGCTTGAAAACAGGAAAAAAGCCCGTGTCTAATGTTTTTCTTGTGTGCTGTTGGATTTCTACCAATCCTTGTCAATTTGGAATCAATACGAAAGCGTATTTTGCATGCTTTAGATAAATAAATATTATGCTCTGTTGTTAGAAGAAAACTGCTTAATGATACGACGAGAACATAATTCTCTGAATTTTGCATGTGTCTGACGTATTTCAATATAAGTGGGTAAGCTTTGTTTCTGAAAGCTTCCCAGTAAGGTTCTGTACAAAGTCTAAGGCATGATTTTTCTGAACGAAAGCCATTATGCGTAAAGATACCGGGAGATTTATTAATTCACAATGGTGAATTTTTACAAGCATACTTTTATCATTGCATTTTGACCGCATTTTTCAATACCGGAATTTCTATTTCTCATTAATTTCACGAGTTTCTAATACATAATCAATACAAGTCTAGTTCTCACAAGTCAATTAGAATGATTCAAAGATGACTTTTGTATGTGTACATGAATGGTCATAATTATTTATCTATGAAAACTTCCGAGCAAATTTTGTGTCAAAATCATGATTATGACTTTAATTCGGTTTTACTTTGGCTTTAGATCGTTTCTGAAAATGTTTTCAAATAAATACAACTAATTATTCTTTGTAAAATAATTCAAAAGATTACATAGGTGAAGCAGAATCCTATTTACAATTTTTGCACAATACTTATCTCTCGTAGTGTTTAAAAATCAAGAGGGAAATGCCGGTTTGGAACTACCGGCGCCTCAGCACCTTTAGCACCTCTCGTCATAAACATCTTCAGCGTCTTCAATACCTTTTTCAGCACTTTACGGTAAAATTTGGTGCTTAGGTGCTGCTAAGGTCAGTGCACCACCTAAGCACCAAATTTTACCGCAAGGTGCTGGAAAAAATGTTGAAGGTGTTGAGGCGTTGAAGATCCCAAATCTGCACTTGTTCCCTTGATAAATATAGTTAATAAATAGATAAATTATATCTCAACTATATAAAGTGGCAGTCGCTTTTCAAAAATGCTTTTGCTTGAATTTAGGCATAGAACTATGTGAAAAAAATCTTAAAAGATATCGTATAATCTTACGCTGAATTATGGCTGAAACATATGTAACATACTGAGTGATCCATTCTTTTTTACCTCACCAGTTAATGCCAAGATTAGTATTTTCCTTCTCTAGGGAGAAAAAAAAGTAAAAACATGTTAAAAAAAGAAATAATTTGGCTAGAGGTCAAATGGATAATTAACTATTTGGCTAGAAGATTATACTACAATGGCATCTTGTCAAGTAAAAATAATCAGTATGTGTAAGAATAAAGTCATACCGATGATGCTAGACATGTAATTGATAAATAGCAGAGGTTTCACACGGATATAAATTGCATAATCAAATAAATGACTATATCAGTGCCAACATCATTTATATGTCCTCTAGGATATGAAATTTTTCGAGAGCTCATGATCCCTAAAGATAGATTAATGTATGAAAGAAATGCAATCAAACAATAGATTCAGAAACGTCATTAGAGTTCTACAACTAAACAACAACAGAAAAACAATACATTACAGTCAAACCTTACTATTAAAGTATATGTTAAAAAGTTTGGCAAGATATTAATGTCCAAAAAACATAATTTCAAGCTAAATATTGATGTGGAAAAAGATTGCAAATAGTAAGACATACTTTGGAGTGCGTTAGTTACTGGTAGAAGACAAAAACGAATCAACAATTGTTGTATTAAAATTGACTGGCATACATGCACCTAGAGAAGTAGAAGTTTATAAAAAATTTAGTCGTCATCGACATATTATTCCTATATATGGATTCGTTGAACAAGGTCTATCAGAATTTAATTCAGTAATGCTATTTCAAGAGTATGCACCTGAAGGAAATCTTTATGAAATATTAGAGGATCGGTTCGTACTATGTAAAATATTTATGCAAATCGTCGAAGCAATGAAATATTTGCTACATCAGAGTGTGATTCATGGTGATTTAGTTTGCCGTAATGTGCTAATTTTTCATTTTTATGCTGCGAAATCAAAATATAATTTAGTCAAACAAGCAAATTCTGGTCTTAGCAAAGAAGCATCGATGTATACTGCTTTACATAACTCATCATCAATAATATCGAGCAATATATAGTTTCTGTGAGATACGCTGCATCTGAGGTATTTAATCAAGAGCTCATTCTCGGAAAAGTCCGATGTGTATTTGGTGGGGGTTCTCATGTAAAAAGCGTACTTAGAAGAAACATATACTTGGTCACAATGGAGGACGATGAAGTGATTCGTCAAAAAATAATACAAGATGCGAGGTTATCGAAATCTTCATTATGCAGCAACAATATTTGATCGATAGCACTCAACTACAAGCTACAGAAGTCGAAAAATCGATCAGTGTTCTTTGAATATTCACCAATTACTAAGTTGATTAGAATTTGAATAATATTTTGATGTGAATTCTGTTATCCAAAGCTTTTCAAAGATTTCATTCAGTAAGATTAGTTATTTGAACGATAGTCACTATCAGAATGAACTGACAAATGACAAGCGGCACAGTAAAGAAATTATGATTTTTTTGCAAATGGAAATCGTTATAAGGACAACTGTATCAATGGCAAGTGGTATGGCCAAGGAACTTACACTTCTTCTCCTTGTGATCGTAGTTCTTACTGCCATACATGCCTATGCGAATATGATAAATTCAGTGGTCGAAGCTTTGCCAAATATGGTAATAGTGATTGTTACGAAGATGAATTTGAAAATGGCATGTGTTTAATGGTTCTGGTGCTATCATTCATGCGAATGGTGATCGTTATCAGCGTAAATTTATGAATGATAAGCGTCATGGTCGAGCAGTTTTTACGACCTCATAAAGAGAGAATTTAAAACAAGGAATTTGCAACGGTGTTGGAATCGTTGTCTATAAAACTGAATACCGTGTCAGGATTAATCTAGAAAGAACAAGTTCTATAGCAATGAAATCGTTAAGTCTATCAATGATTCTTTACTTGATAGCTTAAGTCACTAATTAAGTTGGTTAAAAAACGCTTAGTACATCATATATAAATTATATGTGAAGTCATTGGAATTATGTATGTTGTCTAGTGGCATTTAGTTTCGATTTCGCTTCATTCAAGAATTTTTTCACATTTGAATTTATTTCAAAACACATCAATCAAGATTATTGTTCTCTTCCGACTAAGAAATCCACAATCGACTGTATTATGTGCACCACTTATCTTGGATGACGATTATATGGAAAGCGATATCACAAATACTCGATTAATTCATCGGTTATAGTTATAACGGAGCAACTTTAGTGCAACAAAATGAATTTGTCCAATGCTCACAAACGAAAAAGAAAAGTATTATTCGAGTGAATTCACCTTTTGTGATAGAATTGAAGTATATTAGATGAATATTTTATTCGAAATTGTCTATTGAGATAAACTCGAAACAATGTTGATTATCGTTTGATCAGCTTTTTTGGAATTATGCACTCTTATATGAACATGTATCAATTATAGCGCTCCTGTCACGATTAGGAAAAGGCCTTATTGACTCATAAAACACATTTTGATGATAAATAATCTATTTAATAATAAGATTTACTGCATGAAATTGCTCTGAAGAAGATTTTTTTACGAAAGTGAGTCTTCAACATAAAAGATTTCAAGATCTCTTAGAAATAATAATGACTATTCGTTTACTTGTCATTGCATACTGGTTACTAGACTAAATTTTCGAATATCAATACTGAATAGAAATATTAATGATTTGTATGTTGAAGAAAGAGAATGATTCACTTATTTCTTTCGATAACTTATTTGAGCAAATCTATCGACAATTTTGTCCTCGATTCAGGAATTATGTCTTTTTTGATTGTAAATTGTTTCATAGATCTGTTCAAAGACATGTCTTACGATATAGTTACATTTGTTTTGCACCGACTGTCACCAAGAGGAAATCGGCAAACGATCAAAAGAATTTTCGAAATCCTTCTGACAGAATATTTAACAGAATTATCTATAGAAACAACAAATAGCAAATATAATCTATCTATGTCGAACCTTCTTTTTGTCTGAAACTGAAGTTAAGTAATAAAAATATTTCTCTACTGTTACGAAGACTTATAGTATGCATCTATCTTAAGAGTGATGTTCTACCTCTTCTCATCTGCTTTTAAGCTTTTCCAAGGAAATCAACATGCTTTGAGAAAGACTGAGACACAGGATGTAGAGAAAGTAATCTACAGAGTTCGGGAGAGATTGATAGCGAGTTTTCAAAATAACAATTTTGATAAGTCTATGAAGACACATTAACATCCCAAACATACAATTTTTTCGAGGAGTTCACAAGAAATTAAAGTTATCTTGGTCTAAAACCCTATTACAGCTATAATCAATCTATCTTAATCCCTAGAGTCATTTTAGTCCCTTTAATTCCTTTAGTTCCTTTAATCCTCTTAGTCTCTTTAGCACCTCTAATCTCTTTAGTCCTTTAAGGATGTGGGTGTGCTTTTTGTTTATGCACACTCGATACTGCACGCTCACATCTACATCTACACACCTACACCCACACTCTTAAAGAGACTAAAAGAAGTAAGAGAACAAAAGGGACTCAAAAGGACTGAATTAATGTTAATTGCTCGAAAGGAAAAAGATCGAAGGATAAAATTTCACAGGGAAAAATCTCGAAAGTATAAATTATGAAATCAATTTGAACAGTTAATGGATACATTATTTGTTAATCATTAAGTCATTATAGAATGATAAAAACTTACGAATTAAGAGTATACATATACAACATCGTCTATAAGATGATGTCTTATCGCATTAGCTCAAGAGAATAATTGGCATAAAAGAAGAGTATGGG